AGTAATTCAAAATTGCTATTAGAACTGATATTGGGGCTTACCAGGCAACCAGGCATCTCATCAGCTTGCTTTTCGGCTATCTTTGAAAGAGAGAGCCATCGAAAGCTTTTGTCAGTGAATGAATGCTGCTGATAGATGTTACCACTAGGGCTATTTTTGAGTGTTGTCGTCTTTTTAAAACAAATGAAACATGCAGAAATTTTAACCATCCATTTTTAGTTGCCAGTTTCGGTACGCAATGTAACCATTGTAACGGAAGGTGATGCAAAAGTTGGCGCAGGAATTCGAGTACTTGCTACAAAAAGGATGCGATTACGCAGGGGGCTGGATCAGAGCGAATTCTTTCCAGTAACGATTAGTGTTGTGCAGCATGCAGAAAATCCCGGAGTTATCAGGCAGGAGGTTTGCCTGAGGTAAGTAACTGTGTATTTCATGCTATTGTCCAAATGCCAAGATTTTCATGTTTGTAATGGAAAAGGATAAATCGAGAAAATCTTGCATAACTAAGGAGTGCAATATGGACTGCTTTGCAGTGCTTGTTAGATGCATCTTCTACAGTATGTATCTCTTCCACTAGTAGGTGAGTCCAAGACGGATTCTTAGGGGGGGTTGGGGAGGGGAGTCCTCTCTCACCCTGGACTATGCAAGAACTAGGAATAAAGTTGAAACATTGCTACTTAGAGTTTACTTAAGGCTTCAGCTATTTTGGTTTTAGTTTTAGATCTGGACTTTTGCAACATTGGTGCCTGTGTCGTTTGGGGGGAGGGAGGAGGGGGCCCGTCGTCCTTCCCCCTCTCCCTTGGATCCGCCTCTGCTTTCATTTCTATATCCAGCATTGTATATGCCATGGAAAGCCTGATATTCTTCTTAAAAATGAACAGGTCTTCCCTTCATTTCTCCAAAAAGCTGGCGTACATATTTAGAACAGGCGATGGGTACTAATCGAAAATATGTAGTGTAGGATCAAAAGACACGGTATCGGATAAGACTATATGTTAAAGCAACTCAGTAACATCGCAAGCATAGGAGACTACATACTGTTTTCTTGGCAATCTTGTTAATGCTATAAGTTGCACCTAAACCGTGGTTTTTCTGTTCAATTAGAATTCGCTTACCTAATCTTTCCAAAAATGTTTAATTTTGATTCATAGAATATATGATAGCTCTTGTTTTTCATGTGAAAATTAGGATGAAAATTGGCAGATTTCAGGATTTCATCTGCTTTTATCGATTCGCTGGAAGTTACGCATGGATTTTTCACGGGTTTTACCACCAAGGACGCGCTGTTCCGACTTCTTCCGGTAGGGTTGCCTGGATTTTAATTTTTTACCAACGATCAAATGATTTTAGAGGTATAAGTGTGAATTTCAAATCTGTTTTGTTTTTTTT